CGACCTCAGCAAACGTATCTCAATCAGATTGAGGACGTTTTTAGCAAAGGCCAGCTTAGAAGTATCCTAATTAAGTTAGTAACAATGTACCTACCTATATAGTTTAAGTTTAAAAAATTTGGCTCTCAAAAGAAATTTCAATCGTTGTACTGTTGATATTTGGCTCTGTTGACTAATGAGTTTGCTGATCACTGGCCTAGTTCATTATCTTTTCTGTCACTTCTTTCTCTGTTCACTACTTAAATGTAGATATTACCTTTGTTTTTGCCCATGGTCTGATCCTATTGCTTTTATGATTTCTGTCTTCTCATTGTTTCAACTCTCGTTATGTTGATATAATTACCCAACTGAAGGTACTTAGCATATGGAAAGGTAATCAACACAGACAGAGAATAAAGTTCATCATGTGAAATGTTAATGGCCTTTAAAAACACTGTGGGTTTTTCCCCAAACATTTGGAATTTGATGTGGATTCAAGAGGTTTAGGAAGAAATCTTAGAAAGCCTTATTTTTTCCCCCTTTTTCTTTTTGGTCCAGTATGTAGTATAAAAATAATTTACATAACTGACTTATACATAATCTTTAAAAATTTTTCCCAATTAAAAAGTATTTATAAGTTGTCTTCATTTGAAAAGTAAATAACAGATTTTATTTTGAACAAATTCAATATTAATTCCCTTATGAGAACTAGGAAAGTTGCATACAATCCATAATTTTAAAAGTAGTTGTGCTTAAAATAAAAATCCATCCAGTATGTGGTATACATTTCCCCCAAACTCATTAATTCATAAACCTATATATTTTTAAGAGCATTGTTTTCTACCATTGTCTTTTCAATAGCAAATATACAGAGTTTCAGCTACATTATAATTTAAGTAGGCTTTTGTTGGAGGGCTATTGTTTACAGAACTCTTTGTAAAATGGTTTCTATGGAGAAATGAGTTTCCAAGATGAAATTTAGAATCCTTGGCTCATACTTCTGCTGCTTAGCAAGAAAGGAAGCAGCCACTACTCTACCATCTCAGGTATCAAGGAATCTTTTCTCAACCACACCCTGGAGCAGAGGGCTGGCTGGCATTCCTGCTTTCTCCTGGGTATCAAAAAAAAAAAAAAAAAAAAAAAGGATTCTGGGAAGAAAAGTAATTCATTCCCCATGCAACCTCACTACGCAATGAAAAAAGAATTCTGATGTGAAACAAGATGACAAAAAGATACGAAATATTCTTAAATCTGGGATTCCTGAACTGGTACATATATGTTTATGTAGGAGGAATGGTAGTTGTTTCCTCTAAATCCACATTAACAAAAAACAGAGACATTACTTTCAAGTGGTTTTAACTGACTCTCCGTTTTAATTGGCATTTTCTTCCTATGGATCAGAGTATAAAATTAAACACGGTTTCCAGTCGACATTAGTCAATGTAATTATGAATAAGAGTGGTTATTTTGAGGTAATTCTGCACTGGAATACCTTAACTTACAGGAATGATAATTTGTTTCTTCTGCCATCCTTAAATATTATATGTGAATAGATGAGAGTGGCTAATCCTTCAAGAATAAGGCAGAGTTCTCGACATCACAATAATCTTGAAGATCTACACATGGTAAAATTTCCTGTGACATTTCTAACTTAAAGATAACTGGGGAGACATTAAAGCCCGAGGCTGCCTATAGTCCAATATGACTACAAACATTTCTCTTTCATAAAAATTTCTTGCCCTTTTCTTCTTACTTAGCAGCTTTATTACCATCCCTGAATTGTTTATTTTTCCTAACACTAAATACGGGAAAATTTGAACATTTCACTTTCAATCTTTGTTTGATTCCTCTCTTTTTAATGGAAATATTTTTCTTAGAAATGCAATCCTTTCTATAGAACCTGCACTTCCAGCTTCTACTTGGGTGCTTCCACTGGGGTAGCTCATCAGTAACTCAAACATAGCATTTTAAAATCCATATTCGCCTCTTTTCACTCAGCAACCAAACCTCTTCTGACTTCTCAATTTCTTAAAGGCTGTCACTATTTTCGGTCATCCAAACTAAAACTTTTTATCTTTGGTGTCTCCCTCTCCTGTTTCCCACATCCACTAAGTTGCACAGTCAGTGCATTTTTGCTTCATGTCTATTTACTCCTTTCTTTTTCTCTGTCATTGCTACGTCTCATTACCTCATGCCTAGCTGTTACTGCTCTTGAAACAAGTATCTCTATTTTCACTGTCTTTCCCTCCAACTTATCAGACATAATACTTCCCAACAATCATCTTTTGGTTGCTAAATTTTCTGGGAAAAATAATCCACTTATTAGAGTAGGTCTTTTGTCTTTTTTACTTATCTAGTTATTTAAAAACATGTATGTGCCCTAACCAGTTTGGCTCAGTGGGTAGAGTGTCGGCCTGCAGACTCAAGGGTCCCCCAAGTTCGATTCCGGTCAAGGGCATGTACCTTGGTTGCGGGCACATACCCAGTGGGGGTGTGCAGGAGGCAGCCGATTGATGTTTCTCTCTCATCGATGTTCCTAGCTCTCTATCTCTCTCCCTTCCTCTCTGTAAAAAAACAACAACAATAAAATATACTAAAAAAAAAGAAATGTATGCTTTTGGTAGGACATTCGGTACCTGTTCCCCTCATACCAAGTTTTACACCAAAAGTTAATGAAAAAAGACAAAAAAGGAGAATAACTATTTATCACCCCCCTCCCTTCTTTTTGGCCTTAGGGGGAAAAATCTGGGTATTAGGTGCATTTTTAAAATTTACTTTTATTTTCAAAAATATTTTATTAATTTTAGAGAGAAAGGGAGAGAGATAGAAACATCAATGAGAGAGAAAATCAACATCAAATTGGCTGCCTCCTGCACGCCCCATGCTAGAGGTTGAGCCCCACAATCTGAAACCCAGGCGTGTGTCCTGACCAGGAATAGAACCGGTACCTCTTGGTGCATGGGATGATGCTCAGCCACTGAGACACACCAGCTGGGTGAAATGTGCATTTTAGGTTTACCTCTCTCAGCAGAGATGCAAACTGCTACATGCCTGTATTTTATGTAGTATAACACAAAACTGAGAGAATGTAAGTGGCAAACTCTGGGAGATTTATAGGATGAGGAGGAGCAAGTGGACTGGTCTTCTGTCTCTTGCTTTTGGTCAGTGACAGAGGCTACAATGCCTCTTGATTTTCGGATTTAATCAACATAGACATGTGTTGAATGATTATAGTCTGAATTGGCTCAAATTATGACAAAATTATGAGTTGCTGTAAATCCACTGCATTCCACACATCTCAAATTCCTTCTCAGTATTTAATCCTCAGCCAAAACGATTTGATTTGCACTGAACATGTTGGACACACATGAACTCAGTGATCCTCTCTGAGAACTGGAGTTGGGGGAGAGGAAATTTTTTAGTAGCACTTTTATAAAAATGAACATGCTTTCATCTTACGGTGAAAACTAATTAAAAATAATATACCTAGAAATGTCTCACACTTAGCTTAGGGACTTTCCCGTTTTGGAACACATCCGTATCTAAACAACACCGCATTTAAGTCAAGAAACTTAACTGGTGGAAGAGACTGTCATTTCTTGGCATTTCCTGGTTACATTCACAATGTGATATATCTTGTTATCCGTCTGAGTTACTTTTCTTATTCATCCGGACACAAAAACAAAACAGTTCTTAAAGGGAGAGAGGGGCAACGAAGGGGGGCGACTAGGGCACGTCACGGAGCCTCTATTAGGAAAAATGAGTCCTTATCATAAGGAAAAAGAATTAGTACAGAAAAAGAATAAAACTCATGTAAGGAGCTTGAACAGACTGCTTTAAAAACCCTATGGCTTTTAATAAAACTATTCAAAGGAAAAACCTGTCAACAAGGAGTCTCTGACCACAAAAAAACAACGACAAACATTCGTTCCCTCTCTCCCACTTACACACACCGGGGGCGATCAAGATTCGAAAAGGAACCGCTGGTTAAAATGGTTGCTAAGTATTTTCTTCACTATCCTTCTCACACTCCTCCTGCCGGCTTTTATTTTCCCCGAACATAACTTTCTGTTCCCCCTTCTGCTTTCCTGAACTCCATGCCCCATTGTAGTCTGAATTCTCTGGGCACGGCCACCGGCACCAAAGCGGACACAGCCTTACGAAAGGAACCGGGGGGCGGTTTCCGAAAGCAAACACGGCGGCGCCCTGCAGAAGGCAGCCCGGGGGGCGGGGGGGCACTCCGCGCGGGGGGAGGGCGCCTGGGCGGGAGTGGGAGCAGCCCGGGATCGCCGTCCCGGGGCTCCCACGCCTCCAGCGGCGGCTCTCCGCCCGGCCTGCCCAGCCCAGCCCAGCCCCGCTGGGCCAAACGGCTCCTGCAGGGGCGGCGGCCTGCGAGCGCCGCAGCGGCGACAGCGGCGTGGGCGCGCCGAGCAGCGGGTCCCAGTCCGCACACCGATGGAAAGATACCGTCTTCAGGAGCAAACCGAGTCCCTCCAGCCCACGGCTTGGGCTTTTCCTCCCTTTTTGGTGCGGCGTCTGGGTGGTTCTAACACGATTAGCCCCTCATCTGCTCCTCCCCCGCCCCCCACGAGCCTCCCACTCCCGAGCGCAAGCCCCGCTCCGCCCGCGGACCGCGCACCCCGAGCATTTCCTCCCTCCCAGGGAACCCTCGCATTTCCTCCTTCCCCGCTCCGCCCTGCCTCCCCCCGGGCCCCCTCCTCCCCGGACACCCGCCTCCAGCCACATGACAGGAAGGGCTTCGCCACGCAACGTCACCGACGTCCGCGACCCCGCCCCTGCCCTAGCCCCGCCCCGCACGCAGGGGGGCGGTGGCGGAGGGGCGAACGCGTCGGCGCGCTCCGCGCTCCCCAACCAGAGCTCGCCGAGCGCCGCGGCCGCCGCCGCCGCCGCCGAGCCGCGCGGGTGCCCGGATGTGCGGCGCTCGCGGAAGCCCCGCCCCCGCCGCCGGCTCCGCGCGCCCCCGCCCTCCGCCCCTCTGCGCGCTGCTTTCCCCTCCCTCTCCCGCCCTCCCCCTTTTTCGTGCCTGGAGGTTGCGGGTCAGCGCGAGCCACTGCAGTGAGTCCGTCACGGCTCCGGCGTGAGCTTGAGCGCGAAGCTGCAGCCCGGGAGCCGCCTGGCCCTCGCCTCCATCTCCCGCGCCTCTCCGCCTCGACCCCTGCTCGCCGCCTCTCCTCCCGCTCTTTCGGTTCCTGAATCTCGACCTTAATTTTTCTTCTCCCCCGCCCGCTCCCGCGTGCCCAGTCACCCCGTCGGCGCGGGCCCCGCGGCGCCGCCTCCCCTCCCCCAGCCCGCACCCCCTCCCCCGCGGGTGTCCCGAGGGCCGCAGCCGCCCCAGCCGAGCGCAGCTGGGCCGCCACCGCCGCCGCTTCCTGCGGGAGCCCGTCTGAGCGCCGACACTCTCCTCCGTCCGAGCCAGCCGCCGACCGCCCGCCAGCAAAATGGTGAGACCTTCGCTTCCCCCGTGCACCAGCCCTCCCCCGCGCGCTGCGTCCAGGGGCGGGGGCGGAGGCGAACCCCGACGCCCCCGGCGGGCTTCCCCCGCTGGAAAATTCCAGAGACCCGGCCGGGCTGCTGCCGCGGCGGATCCGAGAGCCCTGGGCGGCCCCGGGGGCGTCGGGCCGGTGCTCGGCGGCGCCCCTGCCCTCGCGGCCGCCGGGTTCCGCCTCTGCCTCGACCCCCACCCGCTCCGGCCGTCGGCCTGGAGCCGCCCCCGGGCCGCCCCGCGGGACTCGGGGCGGCCCCTCCTCCAGGTGGAGCCCCCGGCCGCCCCCAGACTCTCCCCAGTCCGGGGCTCTTCCGAAATCCGGCGGAAAGAAAATGTGACAAATGGCTCTTTATATAAGACCCGCTTTCTCTCCGGGGCTGCGCCTGCTCCCGCTCCCACTCCATTTTCGAGCAGGAGCCTCCCTCGGCAGCCATCCTGCCGCCCGCTTCCCCCTCTGCTGTCGGTGCGGGTTCCGCCGCCGGGAGCCGCCGTGCGGGGCTGCTCCCGCGGCGGCCGGTCTCCGCCTGGCGGGCCGGGAAGGGCCGACCAAGGTGCCGATTCACGGCCGCAGACCCGCACTCCGTCTTGGCTAAATGGGGATGCTGTCTTTTTTACGCTTTCTTCCTGCCCAGGGTTTTTTGTTGTTGTTGTTGTTTTTTCGTTTTCTTTGTTGCCTCGCCAAGTCTCTCTCTCTCGGTGGTTGTTTTTGAATCATGGCGATTTAAATTTGTCTTTCCTTACCCTCACAGTCATCCCGAGGTAGAACTCCCTGCTGTAGTGTTTCCAGCCGACGCTAGGGGTGTGTCTCCCCGCCGCTGTCACCGCGGCCGGGAAATCCACGACGCCCTGTTAGCCCGTTACCGGTGCTCTGGCCCCGACCCGGGGCGGCCGGTGTCGTTGCCTTTTGTCATCAGGGGTTGTGTACCGGGCGGCCGAGGCTCGCCGTGCTCCCCCGGGTGCATCCGAGAGTCGAGCCTGTGATTTGGATGGCGAATGCTTTTTCCAAAAGTCTCTCCCCAATTTGGCAGAAGGTTTTCAGAAGGATGTGGGGTGGTAATGTCTTGCACCTTTCCGTGGTCATTGCGTTTCACCCTGTGTGCAGAATTTCGGTAGCGTTTCAAAATAGAGTGATGGGTGAGTGAAGACATTCTGTGGATTGCAACGTGTAAACTCCATTTGGCGTGATTGGGTGAGAAGAAAGTGACGTTAGAATAGTCAAGTAAGTCAGCTTTTATTTAAAATACAGGTCAAGTGATTTAAGTTCACTTACTAGCTACCTTAAAGTCCAACCTAGGAGCGGACTTAATACATGGTCAGTGATGTTGATACGCATAAGCTTTTCCCTGCCAACTTGGGAGGCGTCTCGGGCAACTTTGGTCACAAGAATAACAAAAAATGTAGGCTTTTCCAGGCTGTTACAGAAAACATCTTTGTTCAGTCATTCATATACAACTTCCTTATACATGTATTTTACTCAAAAGTCAGGATCTTGAAGATCATTGTGGATTGCAGGGAATATTTTTATCTGTATTTATAAACTAAATTTTCAGGAACAATCATCTAGCCTTTTGTTGTTTGTACATTATATAGCACAATGATCTAGTTTGCAAGTATTTTTCTTTCTTGTAGTGTATTCCCCTAACAACCCCCCCACTCCCACTTTTTTTTTTTTTTTTAACCACAGGCTGAATTTGGGAAATCATCTTTTAGCTCTTAAATTTTTATCTTCCCGGTACCCAGTGTTTTCTTATATTTTAAAAAGATTTTGAGATTTACCATACAATATTGTTTTCTTCCAGGTCATCATTTCCCTCTTCTTTCAGGTTTTCTTTTCAGTATTTATTTTCTGATTACTTGGCTCTTTTTTCTACCATCCTTTCAATATTATCTTAGGATCTACATTACTTGTTTTGACAGTGGCTTCCCAACTTTAGTATTATTTTGGTCAGTTGAACACAGCACTGGTTTCAGAGTGGCAAGGCCAAGTATCTATAGCTCAGCTCTGCCATATGGGATATTGATTAACTCGAATGAATTGGGCTTTGGAAGGATCTGGTTCATTTTCCTAGCATACAATTTTGAAAATTTTCACTCCCTTTTGAAAATCTTTATAACTCTTACTGAGTATCATGAACATTTACATTTTTGTCAACATTTTAATTTATGAATTAATTTATGAGTATCAGTGATTAAGTAAGGGGAAAGTAAAAGGCTTATTAGGTTAGATTGAAACAGTCAAGAATCTTGACAGGTATTAATTTTAGTTGCTGTCTTAAAAGTACTGTACTTTTTCTTCTGAAAATTAAACCTCTAATTGAGTTTCATTTTTTTATTTTTTAAATCCTTACCTGAGGATATGTTTTGGTGTTTATTTTGTTTAATTTTAGAGAGAGAGAGAGAGAGAGAGAGAGAGAGAGAGAGAGAGAGAGAAAGAAGGAAACATCAAATGGTTGCCCTGACTGGGAATCAAACCTGCAACCTTTTTTTTCTTTGGTGTATGGGACTACACTCCAACCAGCTGAGCCACCCAGCCAGGGCTCTAGTTGAGTTTTAAACTGCTGAGCACTTGGGGAGGAATAGTGATTATGTATCTGACTACAAAACAATGAGTACTGACCTCCTGGGAATTTCCCCCAAATCACTAAGGGTCAGTTGCCTTTGATAAAATAAATAAATAGATGTTATTGAAATAAACATATATCTTCACAATTCTCTAGGTAGGCATGTATAGTTTTAGAGTACTTAAATGTTACATGTAAAGAAATGGATAAAGAATTAAAATAATCAAATAGAAGAATGTTTAGGTCGCTGTGATTAAAAACAGTCTCTGAGTAATTTTTAAAGGAGTAAATTTTGTAGAGGCATTTTAAGAAACCTCCTTAACTTTTCACATATCAGAAATAGTTTTTACTATGTGCTTAGTATAATTTAGAAATATGACCAGGCTTTTTGTGTCTGTTCTTATTAGACTGGATAATAAGAATTTTGTTTTGGATGAATATATGAACCGAGTACATAAGTAATTTGCTACTTTAAATTTTGTTACCTAGAGCAACCTTGCATATAATAATGATCTTATGACTTTGTGTTTTTTACCTTTTTATTAAAATTATTGCCATGATACATAAATAGAATTTAAAACACATTTATTGCTGTTTACATTAACTGTACTTAGAATTGTACATCACATAGTCTATCTAGTTCAGATTCTCTGACAAAGAAAGAATAATCATCAAAAAATCGAACAACATGTCTTATGGCCAGCAGAATTAAAATTCACATCAGTCATGAGTAAAAACTTTCTCCACTCATGTTTAATTTTCTCATCATAGTGGATGAGAAAATTAAAAAGGCTTAGAGTTCAAGGTAAAGAAGCTGACTTAAGGGTAGGTCAGTAACCATGGGGGACAGACCACTGTTGGAGGACCAGGCATCTGTCATAGATAGTAAGGCAAGCAAAAGTACAAAGCCGTATAAGGAAGTCAGCTTGGGCCAGAAGGATTAAGCGAGTTAAACAGACTATGGGCCCAGAATCTGGGCAAGCATAAAGGATTCAGTCATCCTATATAATAAAAGGCTAATATGCAAATAGACCGTACAGCGAAATGATGTATCTGTATGATGCACACTGACCACCAGGGGGCAGACTGCTCAGCCAGAAGCCTTTCTCACGGCTGGCAAGAGCCTCTCCCGCCTCCGCGGCAGTGCTAAGGACCCCTCGGGGAATATCTGCCTGCCGGCTTAGGGGAGTGAGAGGGTGCAGCCCGGGCTGAGGGACACCCCTCCCCCCCATGCACGAATGTCATGCACCGTGCCTCTAGTATTAACAAATATTTGCAGATTTTGTCTGTTGTTCACTGGTTATTGTGCTTGGGTGTAGAGAGTTGTAAATTGATTAAGGCAGGTTTCCTACCTTCATTTATGTAGAGAACATAAGGCAAATGTCAGTAGATGTGAAAAAAGTTAGCATGAGCGATCATATGAATAGTATACACAAAGCCCAATAGAAATTGAGGAAAAAGCAAGATCAGTTTCATCTGGGGTTAAGGAAAGTTTTATGAAGGAGGTGACAATTGAGCTGGGTCTGAAATGATTATTGGGATTGCAGTAGGCAGAGTTGGAGGCAGCTAGGAAAAGACTCTTAAAATCCTGGAGATAGGAACAGACAACATATTTGGAACACTGATGCTCAAAATGTGGTTCCTGGACCAACAGCATCAGCAGCATCTGGGAACTTGTTAGGCTCTGCACTAGAACAACTGAATTTAAACTTGGAATGGTGCCAAGCAGTATAGATGTTAAAGATCTTTCAGGTAATCCTGATACGTGCTAAATTTTGAGAGCCACTACTTAGAGGATAGCAAGGATTGTATTTAAATTTTAGTTGAGTATCTTTTATGTTTGTACTGACTATGTAAACATAAGACATAATTGTAATTTCCAGAGAACTTAAGTAGAGTAAATAAACTAAACATGGGTGCTGTAAAAGCACATGTCAGGGGAGAGACTTAATGTAAACTGGGGTGGGGATGGAGCAGGGAGGTGAATGTCACTCAAAGAAAGCTTCTCTGGAAGAGATGGTGTCTGAGCTGAGTTTTAAAATGATGATTATTTAGCCAGTGGGAAACTTGGCTCTAGATGAAAGTTTGATGTTTAAAGCCATGAAGGCTTAAGATATTCAAGCCTGTTCAGCATGGCTGGAGAGTAAGGGTTTAGGGTAGAAGAGAGAGAGGGGTGGGTCAGGTAAATTGAGTCAAGATCTGGGGGAGAGGTTTGCATGTCCTATGAAGAAATTTACATTTTTCCCTTAAAGGCTGTGGGAAGCTATTATTTTTAAGCAGGAGAATGACATTATCACATTACAGTAGTTTCTCCCCTTTCCCCAGGGGGATACTGTACAAGATCCCTAGTGGATTCCTGAAACCACAGGGAGTACTGAACCCTATATACCTAAGT